ATGCTCATCTGGATCAGGGGGTAAGGAACGTTTTTTTTCTGCCCAGAGCCATGTGGATATTTGAGGACCATACACAATTATCAGCTTAAAAATTAGTCTGCTATACATTTATTAAATTTCAAATCCATCCTGCAATTGCATTGGGTCCTTATATGGACCCCTGGCTAGACGTTCCCTACCCAGACCCAGAGGTTATTTTCGTGGCTTTTTAATAAGCTAACATTTGAAATAAACTTAACATCAATTGAGCACATACAATGTGCCAAACACAATGTTTAACCTTTACTGTTCTTCTGTTTAATCCTTACAGTAACCCTCTCAGATGGTCACTGCTTTCTCCTCACTGTGTAGATTGGGAGACTGAGCAATGAAGAGATAAGTAGCTTGCTCAAATATAATAATGAATAGAGTCAAGATTTAAACACAGGGAGTCTGATCCCAAGGCCCGTGGTCTGAGCTGTTGCTCCAATATATGAATGTACAAGGCAGCCTGCTTTTTAAGGCAAACTAGTTACATGGGAATTGATTTACAGTTATAAGTTGAAATCAAGTCCTGTTTTCTTCATAAAAAAGAAAAACACTTTCTATTCCATTTTAGTTATAACATTTGCCTGTCATCTTACTAGATAGAATAAGGATGAATTCTAAAAATTCCTTCTTTAGTTGGGAAAAATACTAAAACTATGATAGCCAGTCCAAATTCATCGAAATGCATATATGACATTTTTCCTTATCAATTATACCTCAGTAACCCTTTTTACAAGAATAGATGACACACAATTAGTAACTTCATTTTTCTCTAAAATGTACTGTTTATATTTGGTGTTCTAAAGCTGTAAAGACCATTCTTTCTTTAATTGAATAAGTCATTTTCTAAAATACATACACTGATCAGCATTCCACATCAAATTATATATTACTTTTTCAGCTTTTAATATAAATGCTTATTTACTGCACCATGGTTTACAAAACTGTAGTCAACTACTGTTACTAACCAGATAGTTGCCAACCAGCTGGTGATTGACTGTAAGCCAGTGGCTCCCCAAATGATTAGATCCCTGAAGGATTTCTCCCAGGGCACGCAGGTGCTTTGACAGCTCTCAGTTGAATTCAGGCGAATATTTGTTGTTTTCACAGAAGCATACTGGTGTTGGTCAAAAACCAGAGGTATGTTCTGATCATATAGGTCAGCAGAGGTCTGCCAATAGGACCAAGCAGCTGAAATTTCTCTGTGGTGAACGAACATCTCTGGGAGCCCAAATTTCACCAGCTGGATCTAGAACTTTAGATATGCAGGCGGCACTAACAGTATAGTATCTAACCTGTGAGTTACACATTAGGGCAAAATGAATCCAAGGCAACCACCATGCCATTCCAAGTACTGTGGACTGGGGAAGGGAAATAGTGCCAGGGAGCTGTTTTATGCATAGCAGGCTGAGTTTATGAGTACTAATAAATGATAAAGTACCAATGATCACCCCCTACGGCCCAAATAATCTCACTGGCTTTACTAAGCCCAAATATTTGTGACTGTGACTATGGCTGAATTTACTCTGCTCTAGGATTAAGTCTAAATAGAATGAATAAAAATCTCATAGCATTTCTTCTAGAAAACGTCATACATTTATAGCTTTATGCTGATATATACTTCATTTTTTGTCCCAAATTCTTCTTGTTGTCCAATGCAAATACGTTTAACATGCTTCTGAATTGACGTGGTACTCCCCTGGAGCAAGAATGTTCCACTAGTCCAGACGTAATAAATTTGCTTCCATGCAAATGATGTCACTTCACGTAAAACACATCGTGCCATGATGTGTCCCAACCCTTAACCTTCACACAGTTAATTGCTGCCACTTTATCAGGAATGGAAAAGGCTTTGAGGTGATTCTTGTATAATGATTTCTTGAAAACGTCCTGGCCTTTGATCTACTGAGTTATCAGCATGGATTTTTGTGAGAAACATGCATCTATTCCTAGTCTTTTAAAGTCCCATAAAGCTAAGCCATATGGTAGAACACTATATGGTATTTTTGAAATATTTAATGGCAAGGAAAGAAAATCAAAAGTGAATAAAGCAATATACAAAACATAAATCATAAGTGTGATCCTCTGTGTCTGTGTGCATATGTGGTAAATTCAGTGGTCATTAAGGTCTGACTGGGGATATTGGTGTTCTGTAACATCAATTTAGTTGTTTTAGTACTGATTTGTGAGTAAAGTCAATTATATATTTTTAAATGTCTGCATATTTTTGGAGGAGATAAGAAAAACTAGGGAAAATATATAACAAATCCTATTTTTTTTGAGAATTATTAAGCTCAGGAGTGATTTTTTTCTTTACATTTTTAATGGTTTGTTTTTTGTTTTTGTTTGTTTGTTTGTTTGTTTTTGACAGGCAGAGTGGATAGAGAGACAGAGAAAGGTCTTCCTTTGCTGTTGGTTCACCCTCCAATGGCCAGCACAGCCGGTGCACCGCGCTAATCCAATGGCAGGAGCCAGGTACTTATCCTGGTCTCCCATGGGGTGCAGGGCCCAAGCACCTGGGCCATCCTCCACTGCACTCCCGGGCCACAGCAGAGAGCTGGCCTGGAAGAGGGGCAACCAGGACAGAATCCGGCGCCCCGACCGGGACTAGGACCCGGTGTGCTGGCACCGCAAGGCGGAGGATTAGCCTAGTGAGCCAAGGCGCCGGCTAATGTGTTTTCAAATGACCCTTTATACTTCTTTTTTTTTTTTTTACTTACTTGACAGGTAGAATTATAGACAGTGAGAGAGACAGAGAGAAAGGTCTTCCTTCCATTGGTTCAGCCCCCAAAATGGGCCGCTACAGCTGCCAATCCGAAGCCAGGAGCCAGGTGCTTTTTTCCTGGTCTCCAATGCGGGTGCAGGCGCCCAAGCACTGGGCCATCCTCCACTGCCTTCCCAGGCCACAGTAGAGAGCTGGACTGGAAGAGGAGCAACCGGGACTAGAACCCGGCGCCCATATGCAATGACGGCACTGCAGGCAGAGGATTAACCTAGTGAGCCACCCTTTATGCTTCTTGCTATTTGTCTTGGAATTTTGATTACTTTCCTCATAATCCACTATCCATTTCAGTTCTTAGACAATCATTATAAACTATTTGGTAAATGGTACCATAAAGATACTTTCTATAAATTGTTTTCCTATAATTCTCATATTGTCTTGGTATTTTATAAAAGATATCTTCTTATAGAAAGTTCTATTTTTTCCTAGTGCATTGTTCTTATGCCAAAATCTTCTATATAACAATGCTATAGTTAAGTTGATATAAACAGTTGTTTAAAAAAGTGAAATAAACTGGGCAAAGAAATACAAATATCACGTTTCTTTACATGTGGGAGCTAAAATTTAAAAAAAAGAAAAAATAGATAAAAAATCAAAAAACAAAAACAAAAAATAAATGCCTATCAGTATTGCTATAGATATAGTTTTGTAAATTTTTATTTTATACCTTTATCAAACCAATGGTTAAGAAAGTTATATTACTATAGTGATCTGTGATTACTTAAAATTCACTTATTTTATAAGCCAATCCCAAAAAGACAAATATCTTATATTTTCCGTGATATTTGGTAGCTAATATAGAAAGCAAGAAAAAGTATAAAAATGAAACTTTGGTTCAACAGTTCTGTTTGGAACTTATCTTGCTGATATGTATGTAAAAATAAAAATGTATGAACAAGATTATTGATACATTTTTAGCACCCAAAAGAGACAGAAAAGAATGAAATAAAGATATAGGCCCATTAATAGCAAGTTAGCTAAATAAATTTTCATGTATCAATGCAATTAATGAAATATTCCATAGTCATCAAAATATATAAGATAGATCTATAAATGCTGATGTGGAAAATTTTATTAGCCTTATTGAGTAAAATAAAAGGAAACAAAGACCATAAAAGTATATGTAGAATCAGAAAATATGGATGTACACATTTATATGCATGCAAATGCATTTTTAAAATTCTGGAAGGGTACATAAGAAATTATTAGAAGTAAGTAACTCTGGGAGGTAAATCCAGAGAGAAGCTTAGAGAGAATGAGCAGATATTTCCTTTCATTTTATATTCTTTTCTTACTTGACATTTATACCACATTCAGGTATAATTTTCATGATAAAGAAAAACAGAAAAAAAAAGATACTGTAAAAGGCATTTTTAAAGTTATGGTACAATAATATTTGTATAAACCTTACACCAAAAAGAATATGAAGTCACTCAGCAAAATTTAGCTGTAAATTCACAAGTAGAAATGCAATCCATTATTGCATATTTCTTATATTTAGTAGCTATGTCTTCACAAAGTAAGAACAGAGCTGGAATAAGACTACACTATTTCAGCCCAAAACACTCTTTTTTTTTTCTTTCTCCAGTGTCTATCTACAACGTATCAGGGAAGATACTGACCATAAACAGGAAAGGGATGAGAGTCAGCAACTTTAGCTAACCCTTATATAAGGAAAAATATGTCTTTGATGTAGACCACAAAGTATTTCATTCCCTTCTTTTTTTAAAAAAAAAAAAATTATTTACTTGAAAGCCAGAATTACACAGAGAGAGAAGGAGAAGCAGAGAGAGAGAGAGAGAGAGAGAGAGAGAGGTCTTTCACCTGCTGGTTCACTCCCCTGTTGGCCGCAATGGCCAGAGCTGCACTGATCCGAAGCCAGGAGCCAGGAGCTTCTTCCGGGTCTCCCATGTGGGTGCAGGGACCCAAGGACTTGAACCATCTTCTTCTGCTTTCCCAGGCCATAGCAGAGAGCTAGATTAGAAGGGGAGCAGCCGGGTCTCGAACCAGCGCCCATATGGGATGCCAGCACTGCAGGCAGCGGGCTTTACCCACTACAGCACAGCGCCAGCCCCTTAATTCCCTTCTAAAACCTTCTTAATATGCAGTCTTAGTGACTACTCTGTAACTTAAAAAATAGAAATCTGATCATATTCAGTAAATCATTTTAATGTTTCTTTTTTTGTTCCAGATTTGAAATATCTAGATTATTCTAAAATGGCTGGGTTTTTATCTGAATAAGTCAAAGAAGCCATCCAGGAAGTCAACATCAGGTAAATGTCTTTCATCTTTAGCATTGTATCTAGACATCCACGGTTTCCTTGAATGTATCAACAATGAGGGTAGCACAAGAAACCACAGGCACCATTGTCCTGTAAAAGAAACAGAGGAAGTAGGAAAGAATGAAGTCTTAGTCTTAGCTCTCAGTGCTCTCCAGTATACAAATACAGACTAAGACTATTTGTATTGATATGACTTTAAGTGAAACATCAGAATTACCAAGTATTTCCATTCATGTACAGATACATAAACCATGTGAGAGTTTTGCAGCCCGTTGGCATGGAGTCCTCACGGTCATAGTCACTTGCTGCAAGCACTGTTGGGCTTGTGATGCCCTAGCACTCTCCTCCTGAAATCTAAAGACCACAGACATTAAATCTGACCTGCTCATCTTCAGAAAACAAAAATGTCTCAGAGTCTCACTCTTACAAAGTGGCATTAATCATGTGGCCTTACACAGTGGAGCAGTAATCTCTCTCAGAACCTGGTACAGACAGCAGCAGGGTTGGCCAGGGCCGCTACATATGTCCATCTCCCATCCGCTCGGTCTATATAATATTTTTCACAAAAAAAGCATCCTAGATTTATTCAACTAACAGGATATTTTTCCTTTGAAAAAAAAAAAAACAAAAACAAAAACAAAAACAAAAACATTCAGCTCAAAGAATAAGACTTTATCTTCCCTAGTCCTGGGAGGAAAATATGAAAATGTAGCTTGGGTCAATTTGAGTATGTTGCGTTTTCATTTTATCAAAGTAGAGAATAGGTAGACTAGGTAGGTGCTGAGTAGGCAGATAAATATATTAGACATAACTTCATTGTTCTTTGTTAGATTGGTAAGTAGAAAGCACCTTCTGGAAGATACACTATGGTGGCGGTTTTAGGAAACTATTTAGAATGGCTTTAATCTTGCAGATAAAAACAGCAGCATTCTTCAGAGATCTTGGGTTGTTTTGTTTTATGTTTGTTCGAGGTGTGGTTGAGCGTAGGAGTCTGGGTTGTGCATGTTTTCAGTAAAAATTGAGCTCTGGAATCTGCACGATAATGTGGATACTAGTGAGGTAGACACTAGGACGGGATATCTTGTGTTACATCCTGAGAGCATTGAGCAGTAGGTGCTGTTTCTCCTTAATATCCCATTAGCACTTCGATGGTAGGAAGAGGACCGTAAATCCAGAAAGTTCCTGCTAGAAGGGATTCTTGCACCTGCTTCCCTTCTGTATTTCCAAAGCCTTCAGTTTTAAACATTTGCACATTTGTAGCAGAACTTCACAAATATCTCTGATGCTTTGCTTAAGAATAACAAAAACCAAAAAAGCCGTTTTTTTTAAAATCTGTAACTTTTTCAGATCTTTAAGCTTTAGATGAATAAGCAAAGCATACTTCATTATAAGAAACTGATTTTTGTTTATTACAGAAATGAAGCTATATTAATTCTACCACTAACTATCAATTTTCCCTTGGTTTCTTATAAAATAATATCCAAGGCCCCATCCCAATCAGTGGGCACTATACAGAAATGCAAAACGTATCTGGAGGGGTGAGCATTTGGCCTAGAAGGTAAGCCATTGGTTAGGACATCAGCGTCCCGTGTTGGAGTGCCTGAGCTGGGGTCCCAGCTCTGCTGTGGATTCCGGTTTCCTACTAAGGCACGCCTGGGAGGCAGCCTGTGATGGCTCAAGTAGAGGGGTTCCTGCTGCCCACATGGGAAACTTGGGTTTTGTTTCCTTCTCCTAGTTTCAGCCCAACCCAGCCTATGGGGGTGAACTAGTGACTAGTAGATGGGAACACTCTCATTCTTCTGTGTACCTCTCAAACCTTTTTTTTGAGTATTTGCAGAAGGACCTTCTGAACCCTGCAATATCCTTTTACAACTTTTACCAACTTAAAACTACAGAACTCTGATCTCTTATTGATTTAAACTAGCAATGTGTAAACAGCAATTCAGAGCTTGCGTTATAGGACCAAACAATTCATGTTGAAATCTACTTACGACACATGGGGGAAAGCCTGATTAGTGTATTTAAAAAAAAATAGAGAACTGTGTTCAATGGCTTGAAATTTATAGGCCTGTACCATTCAGTATAGTAGCCATTTGTCACATGTGACCATTTAAATTTACATATAAATTAATTAAAATTAGATACAATCTAACAGTCAGTTCTTCAGTCATGCTATTCACATCTCAAGTGCTGAGAAAATATATGTGGTTAGAGGACAGTACACACTCCGAACATTTCTGTCCTCCTGGAAAGTTCTCTGGACAGTACTGCTATATGATGAATTGATTAATAACGTGTTGGACTTCCATTACCACTTGGCAAGCTTACTAGGAAATGTTTCTATATCTTGAAATTCTAATCTCAATGTTGGGTTATCTGGTGTATACTCTTCACAGGACCCTTTTTATTTTCTCTATTATTTGCATATTAAAATATATAGGATGAAAGCTTAATTTACTCTGTTAAAGTCTGAGATTCTTGGTTTCCTAAAAATTGTGAAAGGAGGTACCCACAGTTATACTGAGTTATACTGAACAGAGGACAGAACTAGAAAGCCGCGGGCTTGTTCACCTGCTTCGCTGATATCTGCAAATAAGCAAACCTAAAGACGATATAGGATCATTCTGAAGGCCGATATTGTCTTCTTCACTCTTTGTCTTCTGTAAGGTTTTGGTTTTCGCGCAGTGATGGATACGTCTCGATTTTATTGACTTCACCTCAGCTGATTTTGTCTTATAAACTACTGGAATAGTCAAACAAAATAAGCAATAGAATACTTCTTCGCCTTCTCTTTTTTTATGAATGTATACATGATGTGTTAAGTCTGCAGCCTTACTTAAATTTACAAGTATATATCACAGATAACAATAGTTTGTTTTGTTTTTGATTATTATAATCACTCCTTGTTACAGTATATTCTGAAAGTTCTTTGTCATCATTTTTCCACTAACATGATCCCATTAATAAAACGTCAGTCTCAATTACTTTCCAGTTATTTGTACCTAGCAGTTAGGTTACATTTGTTTCCTGAGCTAATGATTATCTGTTACACAAGGCAAAAAATTAAAAGCAAATTTGTCTTTAAGTCACTGAAGCATCAAGAATTTGCAATAACGACATAACTAGCATGAGAAAGGGATATGAAAACCCAGCCAATACTCCCTTATATACTTGGCAGTATCATTTTTCAGTGAAAGGATAAGTACATGCCTGCCACAATCTTACCAATGGGGAAAAGAAGACAAAACAAATATTCGACATTTGTGATTTTTTTTCAGTAAACAAAAGCGGAGCTTGCTTTATTGAGTAAGCTACTTTTTACACAGTTTATCTACAGTAATAGTATTCATTTGCCAATAGTATTCATGTGCTTAAATAAATAATGTAGCTAGATATTCTTAGCATATAACTGAAAATATAAAAAATTCTACTTTAAGTTATTATTTATATTTTTAACAATTAAAAAAATCAGAGAGCCTCCTCTAAAGTCTTACAACAGACAAGGATGAACCCCACTAATCCCAAGAAGAAAAGCACAAGTCTCCAGTACCTGAAGGCTTCCGGATGCCCCAGCCTGGCCAGAAACTTACAGAAGGCAGGTATGCAGAGTAGACAGAAAATCCGCAACATCCACTGACGTGTCCCGTCAAGCTCTATGATTTCTACCTCTTCACATGGCGAAGGGAAAGGACTTGGACTGTTGGGAGAAATGTGGCCCCCTCCCTTCCTCAAGAAAGATGGAATCTAATGAGGATTGAACCTGCAGGGAATCTGCCCAGCTGGCTTCTCTGGACAGGCAGACGTCACAGACCACAGGAAAAACCCACGTTCTTTTCTTTCTTCATGCTCAAACATAAACTTAGCAGCTTCATGGGAAAAAATAAGGGAACTTCAACTATGATTTTTTTTTTTTTTTTGACAGGCAGAGTTAGACAGTGAGAGAGAGAGACAAAGAGAAAGGTCTTCCTTCCGTTGGTTCACCCCCTCAAATGGCCACTATGGCCGGTGCGCTGCGGCTGGCATGCTGCGCCGATCCAAAGCCAGGAGCCAGGTGCTTCCTCCTGGTCTCCCATGTGGGTGCAGAGCTCAAGCACTTGGGCCATCCTCCACTGCACTCCTGGGCCATAGCAGAGAGCTGGCCTGGAAGAGGGGCAACCGGGACAGAATCTGGCGCCCCGACCGGGACTAGAACCCGGGGTGCTGGCGCCACAGACAGAGGATTAGCCTAGTGAGCTGCGGCGCCGGCCTCAACTATGATTTATTAAAGACGACTTCTATTGAATCTTCCTTTATGACCAGTGCCATTTGAGATGTTAGAGAAAACATTTTACTGTGCCTTTTTGAGTTTTTGTTTTGTTTCTGGCCTCACATTGAAACCTTAAAGCTGAAGCTCCTGTGCCTGACGGAATTCTTGTAACATACAGTTGTGTATCATATAAAGATACCACTCTGTTTCTCTATGCATTCTTACTCTGGTTGTTTATTAAGAATGATAAGCATGGTTTTTCAGCTTTAAAAAAGTTCAGCGAATTCACCTCTAAATGCAGAGATTCTGTTTTGCTGCCAAGAAGTTTTCGTAGGTACCCAAAGTGTTGTGTCCTCTCCATTCAACTACTAAGTCAATTTGTTTAAGACTCTTAAGAAGATGTAGATGTGTAGGAGTCATCTTTTAAATTCCAGAAAATCCAGGATATCTGAGAAATGTAAAATGCAACGCAGACCTGATGGAAGATAAGCGGCTATCTGGAAGGAGGCCTTTGATGCCTTTCCAGAATTTAAACAAATACTGGCCTCACTCACCCAGAGAGCCAGGGACAACCAGAGCAAAGTGCAAGTCCACACTACAGCCAGGAGCAGCGGAGCTCCGCCTGTCATCCCAGCAAGGTCAGGACATTTGTGCGCAGAGAGGGGCACTGTAAAAACCAGAGTCACAAAGCAAGCAGGGGGGGGGGGGGGGGGGGGCTAACTTTTAACCCATGCCCCGCACCCTG